CTTCTACCTCTTCCTCTTGGAAGAGGTGTAATACCTGCCTGTTACAGTCGTTGAGGGCTTCCTCTGTCACCATGACCATAAAAATAAGAGCAGCCTTGCAGTATCACCATCAATATCCTCCACTCTGCTCCTATGGAATTATAGATCCCTAGCATCTCCAGCATGGCCTCGTATTTTTCACTTGGAGTGGGATCCTGGGGGGCTTGAGAGCAGAGCTGGCCAGTGAAGGCCACGGCTGCATTTAGGACTGACCGAATCTGGCTTGGCCTTTCTTGCTAGCTCACCTGCTCCACTCTGCAGATGGTTTTTCTTTACCTTCCCTGTGCTGCTGCTGAGCCTGTAAAACCCTTGTCATTAGGTGCTGACTAGGCTGAACTGCAGCTAGGCCAGGAGGTTGAATACAAAGGGCGCTGATGGGTGAGTGTTGGTGCTGGGTTTCCAGCCGAGCAGCTGTGGCACCGAATGCTTTTCCCCATCCTGCCTGGATGGCTCTGGCATCATTTCTGCCAAGAAGATGTTGCCACAACTAATCTTTTCTTTTGTCACCGTGTTCTTGCACTGTTGCTGTGTGCTCTGCTTGGGACTGGGTCTTCACTTGGTCCAGAAACCAAAATGCTTCACGGATGAGAAGCCCCATCCTGAACGCAGGCGCTGGGCTCTGTGTTACCGCTGGAACTTTGCGGCGTTCTCGGGATTCCCTTAAGCCGCTTAGCGGAATTCAAGATGCTAAAAGCAGCATCAGAAAGTCCAGCCTGGTTATCTGACCGCTACTGTGTCAATGCCACTCGGGGGATGGGGCTTAGTTGGGCTTTGATCATTATAATTAAGAAACTTGTGTGAAGGGAAAATGATTTGTGTTTTGCTCTGCCTTCCTGTATTGTTCAAGACCCTGAAAGATCCCTCCCTACGGCGTGTGCTTTAAGCCAGTTTCTGAGTGTGCAGAGGAGAGCTTGACTGAGCCCGGAGTATTTATGGACAGTCTGTTTATCTGAAGCATGGGCAGAGTATTTGGTATGTGCCTGTAGATGTATGTAGAAATTTTTAAGGAGAAAAATGAAAAATGTCATTAAAATGCTTGATAGCAACTGTGAAGATAAAGCGTGTGGTGTGTTCTGTGCTGCTGTGTAAGGAGTTAAGTGGTTCAACTTCATGATCTTTTTTTTTTAATAAGCTTTTAAGAAGCACTTAGGAACTACCTACAGTTTGTTAAATGTAATAGAACTTGTTGACTATCAGGTTACGATATATACAAATGTTTAATACTTAACATTTTCTAATTTTTATATTCATTCAGAGGAACCAAGAAAGTTTCAGTAAGGGACTTGTTGCAAATTTGATAGAAATATTTAGTAGATAATTTCAGTATGCTTAAAGATACTCAAATTTTCTGTCTTATGCAACTGTAGATATTTCCTTTTATAATTTGAACCACCTGCTTTAGCCAGCGTGTCCTTCATGACTCGAACGAGTCATTCCTGCCCTGCTGCCTTACTGGCATTTATGGACTGGAAGCAAACTGGGGGTGGGCTAAAGGTGCAGCTATTAACACCCTTGCCTTGTTACCTGTCCTGTTAAAAGCTGCCTCTGACAAAGTCCTGCAGTTGTTGTTTCCTTCTCCCTCAACCCAGCTGCCCAACCACGGTGGAGCTCTGTCCTGCTGCTCTAAGTAGTGTATTTTTCCCCAGTTTGCCTAGGTTGTTATAACTTAAACCTAATGAAAAGAAATTTTGCCTCAAGCTGGTCCTGTTTTAGTACGTACTGCAGCATCTGCAGCCGGGGAAGCCAGTGAGCAAGAAGTGGCATCGATTATTGATGCTGACCCAGGGCGCTGCCTGCGGACGCTCTGCGTCTGTGCTCTGCCTCCTCCTGTGTGCTCCGGGCACAGGGCAGCTCGGGTGGTTTGTGCACTCTCATGAGCAGAAGCTGCTGTTGAGCTCTGCCCCAGTGCGTTTCTTACAGCATTGCTTCAAATGTGCTTTGTGTTCCTTTTTATTCTCCACTTTCCCCATGTCCTGTCCCTTTAAAGCTGTGATTCCTGGTCTGCATTCTGCAGACCGGTCCTGTTCTTAAGAATAGTTGTGTAATCCAGGCTGGGTACTATAATACCTGGGAATAATGGTGAACTCTAATCTAGAATCTTCCCAGAATTGCCTTTTCCAAAGCGCTGCTGCTTTACTTTTCCTCCCATATTTACACACTTTATTGCAGATACTTGCCTTATTTGAGGAAAAAATAAGCTTACTGATGTAGTGACTAAAACGTGAAAGAATTGTGTGATAAAGCAAAGCACTTGGAGGAGATTGACTCTTTCCTGGGCTTCAGATGCTGTGTAAGCTCTGAGGAATCGAAGGATCAAGCTGCAGCCGGGGTGAGGTGCTCTCGAAGGCACTGAGGCACTGCAATTTCAAAATTCTGGCCTTTGTAGCATTAGTCCTCTAAGTAAGTGTAAAAGCTGCTTCTGAATATAGCTTACAAATATTTTTTCTAAAAATTACTACTTTCATAATGACAATCGTGTCAATGCAAGTTACAGAAAACTTTGGTAAGGAGTGCTTGTACAGATCATAAATTGATAGTAAATATTTTTAAGTTATTTTCCTTTGAGATATCACCTGAAAGTTACATTTGGCATTAGATTTATTTAGTAAAACCTAGTGAAACCTCCAGGCTCTTTTGCAATGAATATTCAAATCTTTGGTGGGGAGGAAAAGAAAAGGATGAGACAGCTTTAGATATCTCATGCACCTCAGCACGATATAAATAATATCTAAGGATGTCGGTGGAGATAGAAGGCCTAGTTGTTCTGAGCGTCACATGAACACGGGCTGTGCCAGCAATTTGCACGCCAAGAGCCCGAGCATGGGAAGCAGGAAGTGCTGCTGCTCTTGGGCCGATAAGAGACCGAGGAAAAGGAGATTGGCGCCAAGATCTTCAAACTGACCAGATTTGAGTCCAATTGCATTGATTGCTGCACGGAGTGTTCTGAAAAACACTGTCTCAAATTAGGTAGCCAAGCTGAGATACCTCAGAGCAATAGCAGCTTCTGGCAGCGTTGACTGAAGTGACTCTCCAGAGTGGCGTGGAAAGCTCGTTAGCAGAATTCTTGCAGAAATTAAGCATAGTAGATGAAAGTAACTGAGGGAAATAATTTCAATTGATTATAAGACAAGCTGGAAGGGGGGAAAAAGGGGGACAGAAATTGTCCTGGTGCTGTCTGGCACCAAACCTTGGAGTTGGGGAGAGAAGCTTAGCTGTTTGCAAGGGCACGGTTTAGAAGCAGTCCCTGCAGGGACACCTGTTGGATCTGTGCAGCCCGAAGGTTTCATCTCCTCTTTGGAAACAGAGAAGGAAAATAAGAACCAAAGACGGAATAAAAGGTGCTTATATATGCACTTAAGGGCTGCTCATGTCAACTTAAGCTGAGTGTAATTGTTTGTTTGATTGCTTTAATGTGGTTTCAGTTTCTTTGGGTTTTGTGGTGGAAGGGATTGGGGAGAAGATGGGTAAGGGAAAAGTTGTTTTAGCCTAACATGGCCTGTGACAGAGAATTCTTCCATCTTCTCATTCTCGTTTGAGATGCCTGAAACATCTCATACGTTGTTTTAGCTCTTTGGAGTGAAAGAGAATCCCTGTTATATCTCATGAGGAGCATCCTTGTGTTATGCCTCTGCTGGAGGTGATGCTGTGTCTTGTAGGCTGTGCAGAGGGTTGGGAGGCAAATACTCTGTGTCGCCTTCCTTATTCTGAGCGAAATCCAGTTCCTGACGTGGTGGTTGTGCAGCATCGTCCTTCCTTCTCGAGCGCAACTCAAGGATACAGTGTATGGCATACAAATCATTGGAAAGAATAAAAGGAAACTTTATATACTTGATCAGAAGTGATATACTTGAATGATCTATAATCAAACATATGCATGATATGTGTCACTGTGATGAGAGTTTCCTGGTTCACTTCAATATGTGGAATCTGGTTGTTTGCTGTTCTATTCATCAAAGCCATGATTTAGCTAGCAAGGCTCTTTCATTTGTATTATCTACACTGGAATGTCTTTGGTTTCAAAATTCCTGTTACCATGAGAGCTCTTAAATAATAGAATTTCTTATTTAAAGTACTTGGACTCTCTTTTGGAAGTAATATCATGGGAGCAGTATAAGAGTAAGTGTCTAACTTGAACTTGCTGTATAAAATACTGGAAGAGGTTTTATATTCCTCTCATCTTGGTGTTTTTAGTGGATGTCAGTATCAGTTTGATATGGGTGGTGATGATGAAGTCATGGGACAAGTAGGAGAACTGGAGATCTTCAGCACTTGTGTGGCTCCAAGTTAAGGAATGGAGTTGTAGATGAATTTAACCATCTATTAAGTTTAAGCTGTGTAGACTTTTTCACTAAAAGAAACCTTACTTACCTAGAGCTTTTCTTGGCACTTAGGGCACTGCTAGAGTTAATACTAAAGATTGGTCCTTTATGGAAAGAAGCAGGTAGATTTCTTTTTATTTCCTTAAGAACTATTGGAGTGCTATGTATAACTTTTTCTAATCAGGTATTGTGTGACTTGTCTGACATAACTTTTCTCTTGTAAACTCGCAAGGAAAATAAGTTTTTAAAATATTCATGTTCTGAAGGACGATCCCTTATTTGTAGCTTTCTCTTTTAGAGGCACGTTTATGCTTTCTGTTCTCCTCAATCTGTTTCCATTAGTGCTCCAGAATTGCTGCAGAGGAGGATAGGGGAAGCTGGTATTGGCAAAGAATCTGTCTCAGCTTTTATTTGCTGTCCATATTTAGTCATAGTCCTCTGAAGTGTCACCTGCTTGCTGAGAGAGCTTAAATAAAGGCTTTGGTAGAACTGAAGCTCGACTAATAATATGTTACCTGAAACTCAGATGTTTTTAACTGTATCAAATAAAATGAGACCTCTTAAATACCAGAGTCGTCTTGTATATGCTGTGGTGGTTTTTTTAGATACACAAATTCTAACAACCTGATGTTGCCCGTTTAGGTGCCGTATGAAACCCTGAACAAACGGTTTCGAGCTGCCCAGAAGAACATTGACCGAGAGACGAGCCACGTGACGATGGTGGTCGCAGAGCTGGAGAAGACGCTGAGCAGCTGCCCCGCTGTGGATTCTGTCGTTAGTCTCCTCGATGGAGTAGTCGAAAAACTCAGCGTCCTGAAGAGGAAGGTGGGTGGCCCTCAGGGTCGCTTTGTTTTTGCAGAGTTGAAATGTCATTCACTTCAATTTTTCTTTCAGGCTGCAAGTGTTAATGGCACCATGAACAAAGGCCTTAGAAAGCCCAGCAAAATATCAAACAGTCCTGTGTCTTGCTTCATTTGTGCTTACAGGATTTGACTATTAGTTCATGATTAACTGTAATGAATCTCAGTTGGGTGATAGGATTGATGTACACTTACAGCCCTGAAGAGGTATTTCTTACCTCAGAGGCAAGTCGATTTGTATCCGTTTCTTGTTGGCAAATGGAAAGGTCTGCACTGTTTGCTTTGACTGATCACTTCATGGGGAAAGCCAGATAGAAGATGAGTTTGGAAAATGTGCAACTCCAGCGGAGATACTGTGTGCATTGTTGAGGCTTCTTTGCAGAAATTATTCAGCATTGTTATTTGAACACTCATTTTTAATGCTAAAATTTCAGGTTGGAAGGTTCCTAGGGAATGTTAATGAGAGCATTTAAGCAAATCTTAGCAAGAGAAGTTGTTCTAACTGCTAAGCTCCAGCATTCGTCTAAAACGTAGCCAAAATTTCAGGCCCCTGTCACATTTGTGTTGATTTTTTTTTCTAAGAATAAGTTAAAAATAGTGTATGATATTTCCATCTAAAAGGATGGCTTACGGGTTTTATGCCCTGCTTGAGAGCAGTGATCTGGAAGTAAAACAAAAGGAAGCAGAAGTGTTTTGTTAATACTTAAATAACCAATATAAATCTTACAATGAGACTTCAGCTCTCGTGTGAAAGTGTCTTGGAGGTTCATAACGTGAAAGTAACGTCATGCGGGTTGATTTGGGGTTTTCTGCCTGGACAGGTTAAGGAGGTGCTGAAAAGCTGATATGCGAAGGAAGTCCTAAATCTAATTGCTCTTTTTTCTATTTGCTGTCTGAATTTGGAGGTCCTGAAACATGCATTTTCTTCGCTTGGCATTTGCCAAAAAAAGACTGCTGGTTCTGAAAGAGGTGTTAGCAGATGCTGCTTGTAGCGATACAATGGTGTGGAGGAGTAAGTTATGTTCTTGCTAAGCCTTTTCTGGCAGCAGGGATTTGTCTGAAGGCCTTGCGGAAGGTTTTTGGTGCAAAGCTCCATTTTTAGTAGTTGCTTGTTTGTTTCTGCCTGCCTGAGAACCTGTGGGGAGCCTCCCAGCTGTCCAGAAAGGACAATGGGCAAAGAGGAATCTGCTCCCACAGTGAAGCCCTCTGGAGTCCGCGGTCTGGCTCCTGCTCCGAACCCACAGCTCCAGTTGTCTGCTCTGTAGACTCTGCCTGGAGCAAAGTATAATAGCTTTCCACGGGGCCTTTACACCCAAGTGGGGTCTTTGTTTCCTCCTTTCTGCAGGCAGGGGTCTGCTCAGGGATCTGAGGTGGCCATTATGGAGTTAGAGGGTTCTCTTCTTTGACACCCTGCTTGCTTTTCTATACCAGAACAACTTTTCTACATAGCAGATTTCTTGGGTTCTGAAAATTAGCCTTTGGGTTATCCCTTTATATCCTTTAACATGCTTGTTCCCTCATGTGCTATTCATGGCCAACAAGGCATGTCCCGATAGTAATATTTGCATCAAGGGACTTAGAGGAAGATCTGCAGCCTTTCTGAAGGCATGAGGAGAATTGAAACAGTACAGGCTTTATAAATCCAGATACAAAACCCAAGTAAGAGGAGTCACATGCCCTTAGGAATGAGAAGGGACTATGCATTTGTGCTTACTTGCCCAAAGTTCTCCTAATAGTTTCACAGAATTCACAGAATATTTAAGGTTGGAAGGGACCTCTAGAGATCATCTAGTCCAACCTTCCTGCTCAAGCAGGCACACCTACAGCATGTGGCACAGGGTGGCATCCAAGCGGGTTTTGAAGACCTCCAGAGTAGGAGACTCCACAACCTCCCTGGGCAGCCTGTTCCACTGCTCTGTTACCCTAACAGTAAAGAAGTTGCTCCTCACCTGGAGACGGAACTTCTTATGCTTCAGCTTGTGGCCATTACCCCTCGTCCTATCGCTGGCCACCAGTGAGAACAGCCTGTCCCCTTCCTCCCTGCATTCTCCCTTCCTGAACTTATACATATTAATCATATCCCCTCTGAGCCGTCTCTTCTCCAGAGAAAACAGGCCCAACTCACTCAGCCTCTCTTCATACGAGAGATAGTTTCCCGAATAACTAACTCAAGTTATTGCTTCTTTGCTGAAGAAACTCGTGTAAAACAAATTGTTGTGATATGTTGCAAAACAGAGGCAAATTCTATAGAAAAATAAATCTCTCTAAAGATGTAATGAGTTTTAGCTAAAATATTATTTGTGTGTGTATGTATATGCTTGAATTTTATACAAAGAACCAGACTAGAGCCAGACCTAAAAAGGGGGCAAATGTTCAGGAGTTTTCTCTTGCATAGGTTCTTATTCAGTTGTTTGCCTTTTAAGTATTGATTCTGCAAGGACAAATCTTAAAATGAACATGTTCAGTAAAAGCACCTGGGATGAACCTGTGCTTTTGGGGCTGTGTTGTCATCCATATCATCATATGGATGACGCTGTAGCTTGAATAGCTTGGGTACTTATAGGGAGGGCTGCCAAAGCGCACCCCCCCCCCCGCCCCCCCAAGTGTTTAATCTGTAATGTTGGCAAATGTGCCAACCAAAATTTGCTCTTTCTGTTGCAGTGGCCATTCTGGTTTTCAGACACAAGGTAGTGAGTTTAAAGTCACCACTTAAGTCAGGAGGAGTTCAAACAAACAAAACCAAACAACAAGCATGGTTACACAGGGCATCTGCTACCTGCAGCAGCAATGTTTCCAGAGTACTAAAGTAAAATAATACTGGTTTAGCAAAGTTTAATACAAACAAGCATAACTTAGTAATTTAACAATGAAGGTATTTAGTGTTAAACTGCTATGAGTTCCTTGAGTTCAGTAAAGATGCTGAAAGGTTAAATGTTGATACCTCTTTCATTAATGCAGAGATTGATTAAAAGGGCTCCAGTTTATTAGAAGTAGTTTAATCTGCATTGTTCCCCAGCAGAACTTAACCAGCGTTACAGTAGTTTGAGGAAGAAGCAGGCTTGGTTTGAGATGCACATGCTTCCAGTGTTTATCTGAGCTACATCAAAGTTCGTATTTATGTGTGAGAATCTCGAAGCACACTGAAACTTTTGTGCTACCAAAGTGTCTTTAACTGAGGGGAAAAATGCCATAGAAAACACCTGTGCAATACGTAAAGAATGTTTACCATCTGTTTTTTAGTAAGGCTTAGGTACTGCTTTAAAAGGAACTGCTTTATAGAGTTGAGAATTCGAGTAGCTCTTAATTTTTTGCTTTAAATTGCTACTTTTTAGGCAGTTGAATCAATCCAGGCTGAAGATGAGAGTGCGAAACTCTGCAAACGCAGAATTGAACATTTGAAAGAGCACAGTAGTGACCAGCCAGCTGCTGCAAACATGTGGAAGAAGAAGCGCATGGATCGCATGATGGTGGAACATCTCCTCCGCTGTGGCTACTACAACACGGCTGTAAAACTAGCTAGACAAAGTGGTATTGAGGTTGGTAAATGTGCACTAACTTGGGAAAAATACAGTGTTTTTTAATGAGGAAATTGAAAAAAAAATTACAAATAATATAAACTATTTGCTTTATTCCTATAGCTGCTATTCTTAGGTAGTGAAGAGCACCTTTGTCCTTCATGTTTCTTTCGTGTTATTTTTATAGACTCGTCTGGTTTCTCTATCTGGTATAAGTTGTATGTAAAGTCAAACTTAGCTTTAGTTCTGTTAGCTTAACAGAAGTTAAATGTTTTTCGGTAAAATCCTTTCCTTTTTAGAACTTGGAATAATTTTCAGATGTCATACTGTGTGTCTTGTTAGAGACCGTTAGGCCGCTCATTAAATAGTTAGTAGAGCTTCCCATCTGTCTGGGCACACTTAGGTGACTTGTGTAGGTGACCAGCCTGAGCAAAATAACATATGTTGATCACAGGAACACCTGCTTGCTTATATCATCCTACCATCCTATTCTTCAAGGCATTTTTTTAATAGCCAGTAAATCTTATCTTGGCCACAGTAACATTTTTATGTGTCTTTTGCTGATTTTCCTATCAAAATCCTGTGGTGGTAGTTTTTATTTTCATTTATTATCTAGGATGTTTTGATTTTTTTTTATAATTGCTGATGGAGATGTTCAGTCATGTTGTCCAAAAATAATTTGGAAATCATACACCTCAGCATAGCCTCTTTATGCAAAGTACTGAGCCACGCTGTGGTCCTCTAACCGACAAGGATGAAGAAAATTTTAAAATTAAAACTTTTTTTTAAGTAGTAAATTATTATTAGAGAAGTCCTTTGGTAATTTTAGAGTATATTTGCTATTTGATTCTGTGTATTTTTTTTTAATGTCGAGTCATTTAATGTTCCTGACTCTAGAAGCTGTTCTAGTTAAAACCTTCCTATGAAGGCAGGAGCTGCTGTGAGATTAGTGGTGTTGTGAATTACTTGCCCTTTTCAGGGTGACATAGTTGAACACATCTTAACACTTCCAGCTACTTGACACGAGTGTTACTTCTATCAAAAAATAACTGTTCTTTGCGTTCCTTTTTCACAACCAGAGAGTAATGTAGATACGTCTCACTGCTCGAATCTTGTTCAACCAAAAGTGATTTCAGTCAATGCCAGAAAAGAAATGGCAAGTAGTGGTTGAATGAAGATGGAGAGGGAGGAGAGCAGATCGGAAACAGGAACATAATCATGCGCTTGCTCTATGTCCTTGCCACAGAGATGGCTGTGCCTGACTAAAGTTGCTCTGTGCCCAGGAATCAATAAAAACACCCAAGATGACTGGCTTCAGATCTGTGACTGTAGCTGAATGATCAGCAGTTCTTCTACTTTTGCTGCTAGACTCTTCTTTGTTTGGAGTAGGAGCCCATCTCCTGCTTAATCATCACGCTTCTGTACCTAGCAGATCTGCTGAAAAGGCAATCTAGAAATGCTTTTTTTTCCCCTTTCTTAGCAATTTTTATTATGCCTGAAGAAATGCTCAGCTTGGGTTTAGAAGTGAACATGAAAGTCAGTCATGATATACCACAGAACTCTGTGATAGAGGGTTGCACTTGTTGCAGTCCTATAGTTTTCTTTAGCAAATGGAACAACAACAAACTTTTGCTTTTTCAAAAAAAAAAAAGTTTTAGAAACAAGCTTATTTAACTAGTGTCTCTAAGACTTACCCATTTTTATTTACAAGACATCAGAAAAAAAACAGAATGACATCAGAATTTATTTATACAGGTTGAATACCTTGAGCCCATATTGCTAGTTAAGCCTATATACATTTTATTCCATGAATGTTGAAGGTTATAATTGGGCTAAGCAGAGACTTCCTTCAGTCAAGACAGCTCCTCATCATTGTCATGAACTGCTTATGTCTGGACTCCCTCTTCCCCTTTACCTTCCCCTTTACCATGAGGACAGTTGGACACTGGGACAGGTTCTATCTGGAGAAGCTGGAGGCTTCATCCCTGGTTGAAGGGCTCAACACCAGATTGTGTGACAGGGTCCCCAGCGGCCTGCCCTGGTGGCCATGGTGACTAGACTAGATGGTCTTTGGAGGCCCTTCCTCCTCAACCGTTTCCTGATTCTCGCCCTCACCCCTTATTTTTACAAGGCTGTTTCCATTTCACTTGCAGCTGGAGAGTCGTAGATTAAACATCTTCCAGTAGCTCCTCGACCGGGCTTAAAACAAGCAGTCTGAGACTTACTCGTAAGTTCCTCATGTGGATGGGAATGCTAGGAGGCCTGCAATGCTACAGACCACTTCATGGGTGGAAAGGTTTAGAAGGTAATCTGCTTCAGTGTCCAGAAGGAAGCCCTTAACCAGTCCTTAGAAGGAAGTCCTTAGAAGGAAGCCCTTAACCTTGCCAGCAATAAACAGCAGTTTATTCAAACTGACTATGCACCATAGTGTCTAATTTTGAATAATTATTGGTGGACTGGGGCAAATTGTGGCCTTTCTTTAAATTAACTGTGTTCATATGAATGATGCTCTTGAATTCTTGCAATGGAAGAGGAAGGCTTCAAAGCCTTGCTTGTAAACCAAGAAACAAACGGCTGTGGAAGGAAATGCTGGATGTGGCAGTGATATATTTAAGTGTCAGAGCTATGAACTAGCTTAAGTGGGGAATGTAGCATTTATAAAGTGATGATTGGTGATAAAAGAAATAAAGCACAAATATTAAATATGTGATATAACTTTAAAGAAAAGAAATGCTGCTCGGGTAAGTAAACCGAAATCTGAGTAAAATTAAAATAAGAGCTGACAGTCAAGGACGGAAGCATCTCGTGTGTGCCAAAACAAATGCAGGGGAAAGGGATCTAGGGTGGATTTTGTTTCCTTGATGTATTCTGGCTCCCTAATGATGTGAAAAACAGTTCAAATTGAAGATAGAAACCAGAAATCAAGTTTTTGTTATTGCATACAAATGAAGCTCATCAGTATTAGCTTGTTGACCTTAATAGTGATAATGTTTTGACTATATGACCATGGAGTGCAGCATGGGTATAAAAATACATATTTTTATTTGCAAATTCATGTGTTCAGCTTAACTGGCAGAGTTGTCTTAACCTGAACTTTGCTATTCTATATTCTGCTGCATTGAATAGTTTCTAATTTCTGTGCCATTAACTGGTAGGTCACTCTGGTTTTGGAAACATGGTTTTCTAGTGGGGAGTTGGTGACTGTTCACAGAGATTCATCATTAGACTTGTAGCTCTCCTGGGTTTGATTTTATTTTAATTTGTTCCTTGTTCTAGCCATTTTTAATAAACTGGAAAGAAAAAAACTTACCATAGGGTTCTGTAATTAACTATGTAACAAATAGAGTTGGTTTTGCAATATTGGTAAAAGCAAATCCTGGTTTTTAGACTACCGGTCTCTTACCATAAGCTGTAAACCCTCTTTTTGTCTTTGATTAGTTCATTAAATATCCTTGCCATAGAGCCCCCGTTATATGAGATCATACAAGCAGCAATATGCTTTTTTATTTTAAGAGTGGCATGAACTTAAACTAAGGGTCCATGCCGCTTAGAGGAGCGTGGATGGTGCCAAGGGAGTTGAGCCGTGCGCAGAGTGAGGGCTGGAGAAGCTGCAGCCCTGGCAGCTTCTGGAGCTGCAGCTCCAGTGGCCTCCAGCGCTTCCAGGTCAGTGCTTGCTTTATGAAACACATTCCTCAGAGCTCTGCAAGTATTTATTTCTGGCCACACTGGGGCAAAACACGATGTTGAAGCTGCCATTTTTGCAGGCAGCTTTCCCTGAATAACCTTGTTTGTTTGTCCCGAGGGCTCTTTTCCAAAAGAGAAAATAAAGAGGAAGGGAGATACTGAAAGTGCCATGTACTTCTGAGCATTGCAAGCAGGAGCGAGCACTTCACAGTTGCATTTTGAGTCAAAACTGTTCATAGTGTTCCCAAGAACACTCTTCTGATGAAAACGTGGTAGGTTTTAGTCTTTTGAAAGGTCACTTCTTGGTCTCCAACTTGCAAGGAGAGCAAACGCCTTGAAGCCCCAGTGCTGAGGGAGGCCCTGTGTTTAAGCAGCAGCTTCTCTCTGCCTTCCCAGCTGCCTGGCCTGGAGTATTTTCTGCCTGTGTGGGATAAGGTGCTCTGGGGCCACCAGCTACATTGCCAACATCTGCACACTTGTGCTGAGTAACAGAGCTTTAACTTGCTGCTCTTTGCCAGCAGGAGCAATTGCAGATGTGGTTGCAGAATGTGCAGAAGGTGCTGCTTCTGCTTGGGAAGGCTGATCCGAACTCTCTCTTTTTGTCCAGAAAAAGCTCAATTCTGCTTCCAGAATGAGTAGAGTGAAGTAGTGCCCTAGCAGATGGATGGAAGAGACACGTGTGCTCTGTGTGATACTACTGTGTCTGCCAGTCTCTTCCCTAGAAGCCTGAAATGGCCATTCAGGCTTGATTTGTATGGTTAGATGGAGTAGGAGTGGATTGCAACCTCAGGAAGACCTGATAAATAGGCTGCATTGTAGAGAGCTGAAGAACATTACAGCAGTAAATTTTGTTTTCTGTGAAGGAAGTGGGTGCTGGAATAGGAGGCCCGTTGGTCTTACGATGTGATGAGAGGTTGTAACTCATACCGAGTGTTTAGGAAAACTGTCCTTTGAGAGAAGGAGGCCATACGATGCCTGCATTTAAAGTTAGGCAGAAGCTGAATAAATACTCATCTTGAAGGAAAAACCTCATAATGTACACTTAGAAATCTTCCATGTTTGGTAGGTTCTTGAACATTGCATCCAAGAATGGCTTGTAAGCCAACGCACAAATGCATATTAATGTAATTCATCAAAACACATTTGTACTCAAAAAACCCTTGCATTTTACATAGCTAAGTATTTAATAGTGTGCAAAACACTTGCATGTAGCTTGCTTTGCTGCCAGGCACGAGGTAGATGCTGCCTTTCCAAACAGCCTGGACAACAGAACGTGGTTTTCTCTGAAGCCTTCGGTTGTGCCCCAACCGAAACTAGAGAGGTTTGAAAGGGCCCCC